GAGATTAAAGATTTAAAGTTCTTATTGTCATGTGCACAGTAACTTTACTGTCCACAACGCTGTGCTTTATAACTATTCTGTGACATAGACTATTACTCATATACAGACAACAGTACCAAGCCTCCCATAAAGACAAACTACACAGCGCATGACACACAACTGACGCACACTGGCAGCCAACCATAAAGTGCAAATTTGTTATCACAATTAAAAGATGCTCAACAACAATTGTTACAGTATGGTTGTAAATACAGTATAGGTCTAAACATGTTAAATAACGTGTCTTACCTAGTGCAGAAGAAAACGCCGCAAAGTAAATGACCATTTGGTGTTGGCTCTGCTGTGGCCCACCTGGCTAATTGGCCTAATGGCGGCACCGGTGCTCGGTGTGCTGTGGAGTTAGCTGGGCTTGCTATTCCAGAGCTGGTCCCGGGTGTTTCCTGGTCCGAATCACACGAAGGCCCAGGCGGCTCTTGTTTAACTACTGTAGTTGAAGAAGTACGTTTTAAAAATCGCCGAATATACATTTTTGATAGGACCTAATAAATGAGTAATAAATACATTCCTTTTGTTTTATTGAAATATTTAAAATATTAATACATTTGATAAAATAAATATTTGTATTGACCATATAATAGACTCAATGTCGTGACGTATTTCAACCAATGGGGAGGTAGTTCCCCACTGCCGCCCCCCCCCAAACTCCGCCTCTGACTACTAAATCACATTCTTGATCAAATTCTGGATCATCAAAAGCTCCGTGAAGTCGTACAGCCCAACCAAAGTGCTGATTTCTTTTTTCCTTTTACTTTACGAACCCGAACCTGGACCTCTCTCCTGGCACACGCGCGTCAGCTGTTTATCGAGCTCAAACACCTCCTTTTACCCGAGGCGCTGCTGGCGGGCAATACAAGAATAATGGGTTCCTACAAATCACCTATGGTGCACAGAGAGAAGAGGAGCGGGGCCATCAGACAGGACCCTAACCTCCCCCCCTCCCCTAGCCCCCAGCCCAGAGCAGAAGCTTGGCGCAATTACTTCCACATGTAGCCAAAGAACAGTGTCCTTGTTCTCTAAACAAAAGATCTCAACCACCGTTTTAATCTTCTCTGGGTTCTTTAAATGTCTTCTGTCTTTGAATGAATCGATTTTTATCTGGAGTTTGAGTAAGTCAGTATTGTTGACTATACTGTAAGCTCATTTCCCTTTTTTCAAAGAAAACTTTACTCACCCAAAATAATATATTTATTTTTACACAAGGTCAATACTTGATACCTCTCATGTATTTGTGTTCTCGTGTTTATTCAGTAGAGACAGAATTCCTATATTTTCAGGACATTTCTACAAACACAATCAGATTGAAGAACAGATTTACCCTTGGACCAACACAGTGGTCAACACCTCATAAATATGGTCAGTTAACAATTCCAAATGTGAATACACAGTACATGTAGACACATCGGTCTAACTCATTTATAAGGTTACATTGTGCAATTTATCCTTTCATTTCAAATGAATCATAATTTACCACTATTTACCACTAATTAATTTTTTTAATGTATTTTTCTTTTTTTAAATTGTAATTTGAGTTTGAGACTCCTGCTATAGAGGAGACTTGGGATAAATGTCTTGTACATGTGTGCTATCATATTTGGTCAGTAAAGGACATTCTGATTCTGAATGCACGTGTGAAAAAGTGTTTCATACTGTATACAGTATGTATGTTTGAGTGAATGAATAGATGTGAACAGGCAACACTGTGAAATGTCACATATAGAGCAGTAGCAACAACCCATTTATATGGATTGTTGGTGCTCTTTGGAGCCAACTTATGTTCTCTTATAGGTAAACATTATTGGATATTTAAATATTAGGATCATGTGTTTACATCACGATAATATGCTGCGTTGCCAGTTCCATGTCCTCGCTGTTGTTGTGTTTCTTTAATTCTTTCCGTTGTCCACCAGAGGGCTTTGAAATCCAAATACGCTACACTGAATTTTGCATTCCATGCAATCCATTTCACCAAGCCTGACTACTGGTCCTCTTCTGAGACATTACCATAAGAAGACAGTGGAGTCGTCTTCATGTTAGTAGAATGTCTTCCATACGTCATACATACATAGATTTGTTGTAACGAGCGGCCCTTGAAATGTTTCTTTTGGATTTCTATCGTCTTAGTAAAGTTTAAAACTACAAACAAGACACGCGCAGTCGGTGATGTATTTCGGTTTATGAGTCCAGATAAAACAAAACTTTACTAAGGAACATGGACACTCTAGTACGTCACCAGAAAATTAAGTTTAATTTCGTTTCAATTTGCAGCTTAAAAGTTCACTCTTTATGACGAGTTACACAATAAGCAGCCTGACCTGTCCATATATAGAGGACGAATATGATTAATACCACGCATTCCAGATATAAATGCCATGTTTGCATCTGGTTTTTATACAGTATCATTATTGTTTGAATTACTTTACCGGAGGACCCGCGCCTCCGGGCCGCGGTCCCCAATGGAGCTGTCCAGCGTGCTGAAACTATTCCCTACGGCCAAGTGGCAGTGTCCGGTTTTCAGCCAAGTCACCGAAAGGGAACACCCAAATAATGCTTCAAAGCTTTATTCACCTCTGTGTTTTGTGTTATAAATATAATTTTTAAATTATGGAGGGCAGAAATTCACTTTTTGTAAACGTTCTCCAACCTAACTGTACTGTTAAAATAAATTATTATAATTTATGTGCGGTTGACCTCATATGTGTGTGTGTGTGTGTGTGTGTGCCATATCTGTTACATATAACTTAGTTAGGTAAAAAAAAAATTCTTACGCACTTAAGGCCAAATAGACACCTGTGGGTGGAGAAGGAAGAGACATAATAGAAAAAATACCTCACGTGCCTCAACCTTGTTTTAGCTTTTCTAAATGTCAGACATCTGACTTTCATCAAAATGATATGGAAAAAATAAAAGAGTATCTTTGATACTCGTTTTCTTCATTTTTGGAAGAACTGTTGTTTTATCAAAACATATTAAAACCAGATAAGATAACTGGGATTTTCTTTCTGTAACAGAGAGTATGACATGAATAAAGGTGCACGATCATATGTTTAATACATTTAAACAAAACAAATAAAAGCAACTTGTCTCCTCTAGGACTCTTCAGTGTCAGATATTATTAGATCACAAAGGTGAGCCAGATGTATTCAGGATAAGTGGTGCACCTTTAATTGATAAATACGGTTGACATCTCTTCAGGGAAAGACAGCACTGCTCTCCTCTTTTGGTCCTTCAGCTTCTTGTAGTCTCTGTCTCTCCCCATGAGACTGCAGCTGCAGCCGGCTGAAAAGCCCTCTTATTAATTGTCTATTGCCATGCTTAATGGTCTGATTTTCAATAGTGACCAAGGCCTAACGTTTTTGGAGTGAACCCTTTATACTCTGAATAAGTTGGTAAAAAAAGCCTTTTCTTTGATAAGTGCATTCAGCTCTCGTTATACTGAGCATTATTTCAGGTGTTTTGTTTATAGCCAATAGGCGGTGAACTGAACAAACTGATCTGTCCTCTGCAGCTTTATGTGTTTTTTTCTTCAACACTGATTACGTCATCTGAGCCTAGAAAAGAGAAAAAAGACTGGGACATGAGGAAGGAGGGGCGGGGGGTGAAAACTGCGTTTTATTATGTTGTGAACTGCTTTTAATGTGGCATTGGTCTTACACCTGCAGGAGAAGTCTAATTCGATTAATAGGAACTTTAGTACATATTCATTACGTTTCTTTCCCCAATAATATATGATCAGCAGCGGGGTGTGAAAGGGATCATTTATCCCTGCATTGAATGGATCGGTGTGGGACTAAGACTTCACCTGCTTCCCCTCTCCGTCAGCCATGAATCCCAAACTCTGACGGACACGAGTTAAATTGGCCGTCGTCTAATTTTCATTGGCCCCTCCTACGTAATCCCTGCTTAGAATCCTTCCATTGGAGCTTGCCCCCTTTAATTCAACATAAGTTGAAAGGTTCAAATAGTGCCTAATGAAACAGTGACTAAATCGTACTTTTTCCCTCAGAGGAACCCTGTAGCTGTCTCTCAATGCTCTCTGAGCGCACAGCCGTCGGGGGTCTGGGGCTAAATGCGTGTCCCAAGCCAGGACAATCTAACCTGTCAAAGCCTTTGCCCACGTCTATATATCCTTCTTCTATAGTTTCACGCAATAGAAGCATAATCAACCGACGTGGGACCAAAAACGCAATTAAACTCGCTTTGGACAACAAAAATCTTTTCAAAAGAGACCATTAATGGACCATTGGCTGCTCCCCAGGGGCGTTATCGAACACGTTTGTGGCCAGAACTGGGGGGAGATTACACCTACACTTTTATGGACGAACTCTGTCATGGTAGAAGCAAACCGTGTGGATAAGTTTGAAGGGATTTAAATATTTAGAAAACTTTAAGCAAAACATTATTTAATATGTATAGTTAACATAATAATAATAATAATATTAATAATAATAATAGTTATACAATTAGAACTACTTTTTGACAGAGTAAGTGTTCAATCACTCTTTATCAACTCGTTATGTTATGTATGTGTTATATATATCTTTGTAATATTATAAAATATTTTGAATCGTATTAATAAGCACATATGCACTTGATCCTTCTTATGAATGACAATGCGCCATTAATGAATATTGGCATGTTCGATTGATCGATTAAGAATGTTTTCTCTAATTTTAGGTTAAATTATAAATATCTACAGCACATTTTATATGTTGCATTGAACGCAGTTAATCAAGATATCGACAAGTTTGTGGACAACGTTGACTGTTTATTACAATAAATACACATATACATAGGCAAATAAAGCGTACTTGTTCCAGAGACAGAGAACACGGATACTTCCTCGGAGAAAAGTACCGGTAATATAAATACGGGGCAGTTTAGTGGAGCACACCTAGTGCGGCTGAGTGGAGGGTAAACATATACATCCGTCTGTCACTGTGGAAATACTCAGCTCTCCAGACATTTGAGGAACACATATACACAATATTACATTTAGTAAACAGGAGATGTCTGGAAGGACTTTTTCAACAGTCCCTGCGTGAGTTCTCGGTGTTATCGTGAACCATGGTCAGTACAGGTACACATCACTTGGGAACTGAGTTTAGTTCAAAGTCTTAAATGCTTGACGTCTCTTTTTCCTCCGTGGCAGACGCCGGGGACAGAGACTCCTCGTCCTCCGATCTGGAGTAGTCTGTGTGGCCGCCTGTGCACTTGCAGCCGCTGTGTGCGCTCCTCTGGGTCGCTTTGCCCTCCTTCTTGTGCTTCACCCTGCGGTTTTGAAACCAGATTTTCACCTGTTTTTCCGACAGGTTTAAATACGTGGCGATTTCGATCCTCCTGAGCCTCGAAAGATACATGTTCGCCGAGAACTCTCTCTCCAGTTCCAAGAGTTGTGTGCTGGTAAACGCCGTGCGCATCCTTTTTCCATTTTGCATGTGACTGCTCTCAGAGGCGCCTTGGATGGGCACACACATACACACACACAAAAAGGTCAAATAAATATATACATATATAATAATTATATCTAAATATGTAGAAGAAGTAAAAAAATATATACAAGTTACATAAAAACCCGTAAATATTTGTGCGTAAAAGTGGAGTGTTGGTACAATTTATATGGAAAGTGAGAATCATGTTCTGAGCTGTGAGTCGTGTTTATCAGGTGCTTACCAATAGAAAGACAGTGGTATCTCCTGGGGTCTGTGACGCTGAAGGTGGGCGTGCAAACAGGTGTGTGTCCCGGGTGTGCCAGAGCTGGAGACTGCTGATGCGCAATTCTGTCACAGTACTGCGCCTCTGCTCCTGCGAACTGAGTCTTCAGCAAAGGGATGCCGCTGCGGGACGAGTGGATGTGGGACGTAACGCAGAGTGGACAAACGCAGAAAGTCCCAGTTTTCCTGGACGGGCACACGGGAGCGGTGACCGTCATGATGCTCGGCGAGTGCATGCTGATGGGAATGAGGAAGTCCTGTGCCGGGTGTTCAGTTGGTCCCGGTCTCACAGTGTCCTTGATTATTAAAGAATCGACGTAAAATGACCTCGACATGGCTGCGTATGGCTGATAAAGGAATGTTCCGTGCTCGGTGTGATGGCCGTTTCTCATCTGAACCCCTCGGGATCTCCAAAGGTTCTTATGTTTGATGGTTTAACAAAAGGGACCCCGAGGAGGGTTGGCCCTGCAGCGTCACCCACGTGCGCACCCGGCGGTAAGAGTTTGTGTTGTCAGAGACCAAAACCACGTGACGTCTCCCAAGGCCCCCCAGCCTTAACCTCGATAATTCTATAATAGAACACATCTATCAGATCTATCTATTTATCTATCTGTTATTTTTTTAAACATTATGTACTTACTTCTTCTTTTCCTTTCGGCTTTGTTGGCTTTTTTTTCCAGGGGTTGCCACAGCATTATTATTATTAAACATTATGTACTTACTACATATTATATATTTAATTTATAAGAAATATTCACACAACTACTGCTATAGAGGAAGGTCAAAGGTCAGTCTGAATTTTTATAATTTTTACTTGTGATGTTCTCGTTCACATATGCAATCCCTCTAAAGATACTAACCATGGACAAAATATTGCAAGAAATCCTGAAACAAAATTATGGCAGAGCAAGGAGGGAAACAGAAGGAATTAATTTTATACTCTTATCAAAGAGCGTGGCTGTGAAACTGTGTTCTCTGTAAAAGTCGTACAAAGTAAACTTGACATTTAAATGATTCATTTCTGAGTCACTTGATAAAAAAGATGTCTGCCTATGTTTGTGTCCGATGGTGCAGTAAAGCGGCCGTGTTTATCTTCAGTCAGAGAAGGACTCACTGATGGCTGCAGTTATTTAACGGTGATTATGGTTCAATTAGAAAGTGTTTATAAAGGCGACTCTGTGCGGGGCTAAACAGGCAGCTATTTCAGAAATGCGTTAATCCCTCATCTTGTGACGACAATTAGCCAGTTTGATCCCCTGGCGGGTCACTGGTAGGTTTAGCTTCTGCTTTTATCTGCCAGGAAACGCATCGGACCCCGAGACAGAGGTGAGTCTGCTGCGGGGTTTACGGTGCAGACGGTCGGTTTTTGCTTTGACCTCAGTGAAACCACAACTAAGTCGGACTTTTTGTGCAGCCATCACCTTACCTATAGTTCATAGTCTGTGAATTAACCCTACAAATTGGCAAGGCTTTGATAAACAATCAGGAGCGAGAGAAAGGAGAACCATATCTGTCAGCAAAGACAGTAATTGCTATAATAACACCAAGCCTCAGTTTTTACACACAGAAGTGCAGTGGACCTGTGGTACAGACAGTGAGCTGGAGTGAGCCAGTCATGTGGAATGATGCGGGGCGTGCGCCTCATCACACCGAGCAAACTCCGATATTATTTTTTCCCCTTAATTCTTCTTCGATAAAAATCCATTGTCTATTAGGTAATCCTACAAATGAGATCCTTTATGAGGCTATAATGAGGCCTAATTGCCAGGACTAGTGGAGCCACGTGGAAAGATTTAGGAAGCACTAAGCTCTCGGGCACTGGGTACAGACTGTTACCTAGTCATTACTTTCATAATTCAGGGAGAAAATTAGTCCATTTAAGGGAAAAATCCTTTGATTCCATTTATTCTGCTCCAGGTGACTGAGCTGAGGTTTTTTTTTTTATCTGCTTCTGTTAAGAAGCTGGTGTGACCTAACAGTAAAAAAAATATTATAGGGCCAAACTCCTTATCTACTCTCCTTTCCTTTTCTTTCGCCTCCTTATTTTCCTTATTGTAAAAAACCACAAGCTTTAACATTTAAAACTGTTTTGTGGTGAAAAAATAGTAGGAGTAAAATACATCCCAATTTGATTTCACATTTGTTTTATTTTCACATAGCATCACCTATTCAGATTTTTTTAAAATTAATTAATGATTTAATTAAAAAATCATTACACACACTGAGCTGAAATATATATATATATACATATATATGTATATATATATATATTTCAGCTCAGTGTGTGTAATGATTTTTTAATTAAATCATTAATTAATTTTAAAAAAATCTGAATAGGTGATGCTATGTGAAAATATGAGTGTAACATCTTAATGACCTTCCGGAGTTCTCCATCACTAGTTGGCAGCTAGTAGTTGTTATGGAGGACAGAAACAATGTTAAAGAACTAATTGTGCTGTTGACTGCTTGACCTTTGTAGAATATTCCTCATCTTCCTCATCTCATATCTTATATATAAAATACACAGTAGTTTTAACTTCATTCAAAATGTTTAATCCCATTATACATCCACAAACAGTTTTAGTTTGAATAATGGCTTAATGAATAAATAGATAAAATCAATATTTTTGGTTTTAGAAATTCACAGAATTTACAAATAGCTGAAAGTGGCTAAAGTATATTATAATCTATATGTGTGTGTGCGTGTTTGTGTGTGTGTGTGTGTTTTCTGCTCCTCCCAGTAGTAAAAGTACACAAACTTGTTAAAGTGGACCACTAAAGTTTCCCCCTCTCATTCAGGGCACATCCCATGCCATATTAGACCGTGAAGAAGTCCATTAATGTTTTGTTGAACAAGCGTCATTAACTTGTATCAACGCCTTTTTACAAACCTGGCATTGTTGTGCCGGGCCAGTCTGCGGCCCATCTTGGCCAATACAGTGGATGATTTGCCCCTTTATTAGTTACCAGGCAACAGATCCTGAATACCAAAACTCAAAGGAAACACTCGGCTCCTCCGTATAGATCTTAGTGGTGATGGGAGAAAATGAACAATGATCCTGAGAACAACATCCAGCCACGCAATGACTTTTCATTAACAATTATCTGCTTGATGTGAATAGCAGCTGCAGTGGCTGCTCTCCATTGCAAGTTTGCAGAGAAAAGGGAGTGTGTGTGTGTGTGTGTGATCGTGCGTTTGTGAGTGCGCGTGTGTGTACGTGTGTGCGCCAACAGCAAGTTTAGGGGGCTCACGCTCTCCATGAATGTGGGATCTAATTTATATCTTGGTGAATAATTAGATTTCTATGCAAAAATGAGTTAGAAATAATTACATCTTAAAACAGCGTGACACCTAAGGCTGAAAAACAAAAGAAAGCAGCACTCTTTAATGTCCCTCACAGGGGGTCCAGGAGAGTTTTTTTTCCTTCTTTTTGTTGTTAACAATCAATGAGCTATTTTAAGTTGTAGTGCACGATAGGCTATGAAATGAATGTATATTCCTGAAAATAATCTGTGTCTATGAGTTGGAAAAGACAACGCTGTTAAAGAGCGCCGGCGCTCAGTGCCATAGAAAAGTAAAGTGACGGCTTCAGTGGACGAAGAGGCCGGAGGACAAAACAAGTGAGGGTCCTGTCGATGGCCTATAGAGACGTCCTACACCAGGCTTCCTCTAATTAGGGAGATGCTTCTCAGTCTCAGACCAGACACTCCAGACTGAAGTGTGCCTGCACCACTGAGTGTCTGGATGTCCACACTCCTTGTAGGGTGTGTGTGTGTGTGTGTGTGTGTATGGTTCACACAATTAACAAATGAGATAAACCAAACTGATAGTCATGTAGAGTACGGTCAATTTCCCAGAAAAATGTTTTTATTAAAGTGAATTGTTCTAATCTGCCTCCTCGGCTGTTTCCAAAAGACTAAGCAGAAGCTGTTACAGCAGCAGCAGCAGCAGCAGCAGCAGCAGCAGCGGCAGCACTGAACACTCCTTATTTCAATCTTATCTTGCTTGACTTGTCAAATCTGAATTTTGTTCCTTGTCAGAACATCAGGACGTTCCATCGTTAGTCCCGTCGTGCTGTGTGACCACAGTATATAAAATGTAAGGACTCATTATTCTTCCCATCACTTTCTAAAAAAAGAAATCAACACCAATCATCTGAATTTAGGACCATGTCTTTCACAGTCCACAGCAGTCCTGAACGCATTTTGCGATTTCAAATTAGCTGTAGCAGTAAGCAGCGGCTAATCACCTCTCTCTGTAAACACAGGTTTCTCGCCCCTCCTCTCCTCAGAGCCACACAGCTCCTGACTTTCCCTGCAACCCAAATTAGGAAGTGTTTCAAAAGTGAATGACGGGAGTCCGCCCTGGTTACTCCGACCAGTCTCAATCTAATAGGAGGTGATATTGTACCCTCTTTTTCTCCCAGTTTGAAAGGGGAAATCCCAGGGATTGAGATTGTGTGCTGAAGCGGAAGCAGGCTGGAATGTGTGTCCGGGCTGTGTCTTTTGTCACTGTCCACAGCCTGAATAGACATAGACTGTAATCTCTCTGTCCTCTGTTTGTCAGACTGTCAAGATGCAAACAAATGAGGGATTTCATCCCAGTGGTTTTGCACCTTTTACTTCTATCACCTTATCTCCAGGTGTATCATCCAATCAGCTATTAGAGCGAATGGGATTTTAGATTTTAGATCAACATTTTAGTAGTGTATCCTTTTCAGGGAAAAACAGCTCATGTTTTCTTTTAAAATAAAACCATCTAAAATGTTCTTAATATTAAAATTATATTTTAATATATTATATTTAAAGTGATATTAAATTTTATATTTTATTATATTTTGATATATTATATTTAAAGTGATATTAAATAGTCTTAAATAGAAAATACACTGAATCACTGAACATGATCACACATTCATTAATTGATTAACCAGCAGCTGTGATGCAGCGCTAACCTCACCACAACGTGGTTTGTGTGTCTGGAGGTGGCCCGATGCTGAGCTGCTTTTTCACTGGACCTGAAGTAAACCAGGAGTTTATATTCCAGTGGTAAGCGTTGCGTACTTTACACTTTGAATAAGTGCTATTGCTTCACATTGTTTGCATTTCCAAGTGCATCTTTTTCAGTGCGTCCAGAGAGTGGAGGTCAGGGCCAAGAGCTCCCGTCTGCATCTTCCCAGCTCTGTTCTGGGCAGATAAATGGAGAAAGTGTTTGTGAGCTGTCTGCGCTTTGTGTTTGCTCAGAGTCACAACTTTGTATGGGGTCGAGGGGGTGTGGTGGAGGGGGGGGGGGGGCACTGGGATGTGTATGCAGACTACATCGCCTGGCTTCACCCCGTCCACTCCCCCCCACCTCCCCTTTTTACTCTGTGTCCTCTCACCTGCCTGCTGCAGTAAATCATAGACCCATCAAGTGAAGCGTGTTGATGGGCCTGCAGGTGCAAGAGCTTTGCTGCACCTGCCGTGTGTGTGAGTGTGTAATGGGTCTTTGTGTGTTCGTGTGTTTTAACATCTTCTGTCTTTTTTACATATATATATATATATATATATCAGCTGACCAGAAAGTCTGTGATTAGAGATAAGGTGTTTTCTGT